GTGATTTTTTACTTAAAAGATGTAAAAATAATCTGCTATTGGGTTAAGCAATGTGAATTTATTTCAAACCGAAAGCAAGAATATTCTGCATCCCCTATGGGCAGATTATTTAGCTTGTGTTAAAGAGAAACTCACTTAATTTCGACTTAATTATTAGAGGCCTTATTGCAATATTTTTACGTTTTAAGAAGTCTTTAGAGAAAATAAGTCAAATTTAAATAGGTTTTGACTTTAAATTAGTTTAATAATCTGCCAGTGGGTAAGCAATGTGAACTTTTCAAACCAAAAATAAGGTTACTCAGCTCACTCCACTGGCAGATTATTTAGCTTGTGCTGAGAAACTTATTTAATTTGGACTGTTTTAGGGAAATAAGTATAACAAATTAGTCAAATTTTAGTGTCTTTAAGTTTTTAGAGCGCTTTAGACGGCGCTCACTGAGCAGTATAGTCTCCCCTTCACTATACAGGGCCATTAGGACTCACACAGATCACAGGTTGAGCTCCCCCTGCTGGCCTCACCAGCACCACTTCTGGCAGCATGCTGGCTTTCCCATCGGGTCTCCGACTCAGGTACCAAGCTTCTTGATTAACTCAGCTTCTGAATTTAAGACTTTTCAGATATTTGGACTAGAAACAAGACTCTAAGTAAGAAAATCATTTTAGCAGTGTGCAGAAGATATGATTACACAGATGAAGAAACATCCTCTGACTCTGATCTCCTGATTAATGTGTGACAGCATTTCAGCACTCTTAATAAATAGATGGATATTATGGTGGTTGCTAGGGTGTTCTGTGTGATTGTTTGGCTGTTGCTATGCAGTTGTTGGTTTGTTCTGGAGGGTTGCTTCAGTGTTGCTATGCAGTTGCTAGGGCGCTGTAGGTAAGTGGTAGAGTATTGCTACAGTGGCTAGGGCATTGCTAAGCATTTGCTTGGATATACAAGTGGGTTGACACTGTTGGTGCAGTTAGTGCATTCTGTTTGAGTGCTCTGATGTTGCTAAGACATCCTGGGTTGTAGCTAAAGTGTTGCTATGCAGTTGCTTGGGCATTTTGAGTAGTAGCTAGAGTGTTGCTATGCAGTTGCTAGGGCATTTTGAGTCGTAGCTAGAGTGTTGCTATGCAGTTGCTAGGGCATTTTGAGTAGTAGCTATAGTGTTGCTATGCAGTTGCTTGGGCATTTTAAGTGGTAGCTAAAGTGTTGCTATTCAGTTGTTAGGGCATTTTGAGTGGTAGCTAGAGTGTTGCTATGCATTTGCTAGAGAATTTCGAGTGGTAACTAGAGTGTTGCTATGCACTCAGTTTTGAGTGTTTGTTAAAATGTTGCTAAGCAACTGCTAGAGTGTACTAGGTGGTTACTTGGGTGTTTTTCTCTTTCAACTTTAGGGCACTCTGGGTGGTCAATAGAGTGCTACTATGCAGATGCAGTAAGTGTCTTTTCTTGGGACTTACTAAGCCGTTGCTAGGGTATTTGTGTTGGTTGCCAGGGTTTTGCAGTGTAGTGGTAATAGAGAGTTGTTGCTGGACTGTTGATATGCAGTTGCTCTGACAGTTGCTAGGTTTTTTATCTATCATCCATCCATCTATTGTTTCACCCATCCATTATTTCATCCATCCATCCATTCATCCATTGTTTTATCCATCCATCCATCCATCCATCCATCCATCCATCCATCCATCCGTCCATCTATCTATCCATTCATCCATCCATCCATTCATCTTTTCATCCATCCATCCATCCATCTATTGTTTCAACGATCAATCCATCTCTCTATCCATTCATCCATCAATCCATCCATCCATGCTTACATTGTTTTATCCATCCACCCATCCATCCATCTATCCAAGCATCTATCGTTTTATCCATCCATCCATCCATCCATCAATCCATCTCTCCATCCATCCATCCATTGTCTTATCCATTCATCCACCCATTGTTTTATCCATCCATCCATCCATCCATTGTTTTATCCATCCATCCATTGTCTTATCCATTCATCCGCCCATTGTTTTATCCATCCATTAATTGTTTTATCCATTCATCCACGCATTGTTTTATCCATCCATCCATCCATTGTTTTATCCATCCATCCATTGTTTTATCCATCCATTAATTGTTTTATCCATTCATCCACCCATTGTTTTATCCATCCATCCATCCATTGTTTTATCCATCCATCCATTGTTTCATCCATCCATCCATCCATACATCCATTATTTTATCCATCCATCCACCCATTGTTTTATCTGTTCATCTTTCAATCCGTCATTCTATCAATCTATCCATTCATCTATTGTTTTAATGATCCATCCATCAATCTATCACTCCATCCATCCATCCATCCATTTATCCATCCATCCATCTATTGTTTTATCCATCCATCCATTGTTTTATCCATCCACCCATCCATCCATCCATCCATCCATTGTTTTATCCATCCACCCATTGTTTTATCTGTCCATCTTTCAATCCATCATTTTATCAATCCATCAATCCATCTATTGTTTTAACGATCCATCCATCAATCTATCACTCCATCCATCCATCCATTCATTCATCCATCAATCCATCCATTCATCTATCCATCCATACATCCATCCATTGTTTTATCTATCTGTAGATCTATCAATCTATCATTTTATCAATCCATCCATCAATCGATTGTTTTATCAATCCATCCATCAATCGATTGTTTTATCAATCCATCCATCAATCGATTGTTTTATCAATCCATCCAGGAATCCATCTATCCATCTGTTTTTTTCCCATCCATTCTTCCATCAAGTGTTTTATCTATCTGTCTATCTATCAATCCATAATTTTATCATTCAGTCAGTCCGTCCATCCATCTATTGTTTACCCATTCATTCATCCAACCAATCATTGTTTTATCTATCCATCCATCGATTGTTTTGTCCATCTATTCATCCATCAATTGTCTATCTATGTCCATCTATCAATTCATTGTTTCATCAATCCATCATTTTACCCATCCCTCTATCCACCCATCCATCAGTACATACATTACATACATACATACATACATTGTTTTATCTATCTGTCCATCTATCAGTCCATCATTTTATTAATCCATCTATTCATCCATACATCCATCCATCCATCCATCCATCGTTTTATCTGTCCGTCTATCAGTTCATTGTTTTTGTCAGTCCATCATTTTATCAATCCATCCATCCATCCATCCATCCATCCATCCATCCATCCATCGTTTTATTCATTCATACAGTGTTCCATCCATCCATCCATATATCCATCCATCCATCATATAAATTTCCCTCTTTGTCTCCTTCACTGTGGTAGATTCATACAATCTTTTCTGAAAAGATTTAGTGCCAAATCCATATTAACCACACGTCTAAGGTGTGAAGTCCTGAAGAACTGAAGAACAGTGTTGTGCTTGAATCTCTCACACTTTCAGCAGGAGATCAGACTGAACCCTAGAGAGGATCTGCTGTCGGAGAGTAAAGGTGCTCAGCTCTTTTTAAACCCCGCCCTCTGATGATGATTGACAGGCGGAGGACAGTTCTAAACCGTATCTGATTTCTCATTGATATTATTATAAGAGCTGGTGGTCTTCTTTACCTGACAGTACTCTTCCTCTCAGCCTGAATAGTGTTATTTTAGAGCATATAGTGTAAATAGCATATAGGATAAACTGTACAGAGAACATCAGCAGCTTGTAGTATTTGAACTTTATTTTCAAGACGTTTGCTCGTGTACAGCTCTGAATG